TTCGCCGCCGTAGTTCGTCAATGTTTTCTGGTTTCGAGACGTAAACTCGACTTTTCAAATATCCCCAATAAAAAAAGTGGCGTCAAATCTGGTGACCGTTGGATGAATCGCACTTATCTTACCTTAACTGGTTGGATGAATCGCACTTATCTTACCTTAACTGGTTGGATGAATCGCACTTATCTTACCTTAACTGGTTGGATGAATCACGCAATCTCTTTCCTTGAGTACGGTTCGATGTACGCCTTAACTGATTCTACGAACTTCGCGTGTCTTTCGTATCGGCAGAAATGATCGAAGCGAAGATTACATTTACATGTAAATAACACGTACGCTGTCTATTTTCAATTTCGTCGATACGAATTATCACAATTGTTTCTTAACTGGGAGTGTTTTTAAGGGAATGGGGCTCATATGCAGTGTTTTGTAAACGTTTCGACATCAGCTACACGAATCTGTAACAAAAACTGACGAGTTCCATTTGAAATTTTTTACGTTATTTGTATGCAGCTCGTAAGGGTCATTTCAAGGTCATGCCGTCTATGCCACATAATACATCTTTTCATACCATAAAAATTATGTCTAAGACATTTTGTCGAAAAATGAATAGTTTCGGAAATAATTGTTTGCTTCCATACTTTTTCCCCACCCTGTATACTGTGGTTCTAGTCTTCTTGGTAGATCCGTGTTCGATCCCACTTGCTTGCGCTCAAATACGCGATTTTTCACGTTTAGGAAACCGAAAATGGCTCCATCTGTTGATTAAGAGAAGTTAAAAAGGCCGTTGTGAAAAGAGTTTTGAAAGAGGCTTAAGGCCGTTGCGAATTGTACGAGAGGAGGTCTATGAGATCTCCAACTAAAGAAATCTTAATTTTCCATTTACATTCGATTTGAGACCTCTGCTCCCCGAGGAGGTTATTCATTATTTGTTGGGATTATTTTACCGCAGAAAGCAATATAAAAGCATCATGCAATCTATGGCTGCGTTCAGCAGACTCAACAGTTTTGCAATCGTTTTATGATTATCTGCTGAGATAGGACCATTCTTCTAGATCTAAAAGTATGATCCAATTAGCGCGAAGGAAACTTCCAACAGTTGCAAAACAAACGTTCTACTGAACGCAGCCTATGTAAAGAAACAATTAAGGCCGCAGCACAGACTCTTGCATAACGCATAGTGCATAAGCGAATCAACTAATCAGAATCTTTCCTTTCCCTCCCCATTCCATGAAAAAGAAGAATTTCGATTGGTCGATTCTCTTATGCACTATGCATTATGCGTTATGCGTTATGCAAGAGTCTGTGCTGCGGCCATTAAGCACAGTCTTTCTTTCTTTCTTTCCCCTTGATTGGTTTTCCGACTCAAGCATAGAGTCACAGTACCATACTTTCTGCATGGTACTGTGAGACTCTATCTTTGAGTTGGAAAATCAATCGAGGGGAAACTAGAAGAAAGAAAGAAAGAAAGACGGTGCTTAATTGTTTCTTTACATAGATTGCATGATGCTTTTATATTGCTTTCTGCGGTAAAATAATCCCAACTCCAATTGAAGTTAACTTCTTTCTTTTCTTCTTCTGTTAATTTGTCTGGATATAGGCGACGTGAACAAGGCGTTGGTCAGATTTATTTTTAGAACATTTAACTTTAGAACTTTAGCCGAGTGAAATTTACTTCCGAGGAAAAACACGGAATTACTAATTACAAAACACATGGAATTACTAATAACTTGAGGTTAACGATTAACGTCAAAAAGGCAAAATACTCTAAATTCCATTTTTTTTTTTACAAATTAAAAAAGGTCTGAATATTGTGAAATTTTAATGAAATTTTCTCCACCACTATATTACACTATTAGTGACACTACTTGTCGAATTTACTTATTGCATTAGTGATACTAGTAGTATATTTTTATGCAGGCTAGATCACAATTTAAGATTTTATTTCCAATTCGAAAATTAATCGAAATTGGAGTAAAAAAATCTGACGAAATCAATAACAATTTCGAAAATTTTCGACTTTTATCTTCGACATCGAACCCCGACATCTTTTCGAGGAACTATTTCTGACTGGGTATGTGCGATCAAATTATATGGTTCTATATGATTTCAATTATGTATAGGATATTGGCGTTTGTACTTCCCATTTAATGAGCACAAATCAGCACAAGTATCGATGTCTTCGTTATTTATGCTAAGAAAGATCATATAACGATTGTGTTAACTTGTGTTACCAAATAGAAAGTATTACTTATGATAAATATCTAAAAAAGCGATGCGTCTAGTCAAAGAACTAACTATGCTCAGGTATAAACGCATTCTTGATGAACGGCTTCTATTTTTATTATACAATATATATTTATTTATTACTTACAAATATACATTTATTTTGTAAGTGATTTCTTTATGTACTTTAGTAATTTATTTCAACTTATTAAAAAAAAATTAATTTAAATTGAAAACACACTTATTTAATAAATATTAAACAGCTCGTAAAAGAATATTCATTAAAACAATACAATAAAAGTGTAGTATATATGTACAAGAATTTTTATCTTTATATAAATTATTAAAAACAATAAATGCTGAAGATATAACAATATAATATCATCACTTTATATGTATGAATTATGTAGACAACTTATTTCTAATAAGAATTTATATAGAGTGAAATTCGTTAGCTTTACTTATCAAAGTAAATATATTACTTGTTACACAATAGAAGCATAATGTTATTTTTCTTATAATTACAAATAATATTAATTGTACTTATTTATATTACAATTAATTTATACTCTTGGAACATTTTAATCTATTTACTTGTTATAATATAAACATAGAATATAATCAATATTCAATGTTACAAAATGACTCAAGCATTAAAAGATTAAAAAAATTAAATGATGTTTCTATAACAAATTTTGATACAATGAAAAAGAAAGATAATTTCTCTTTTCATGTAACACAGGCTTCCACTGTCTTTTTGACAGCATCGCGAGCATATGGTATATATGATAAGGAATACCATGTCATAGCTAGTGACTGAATGATTATAAATAGAAGAGCTAGACCAGGATTATGCAACTGAAAATAAAAGAGTAATAAATACTTAGAAGTATGAAGAATATATAAAAAACAAGAAATATTGATTACTTACGTGTACAGCTGCAAAAAATGTCAAAGCAATCGAGACAAATACTAATATAGTTGCAATTATTCTCGTCGATGCAAACATCTTCTTAAATTGATTACATGGACCCATCAAGAAACACGTACTGAAATACACAGGATGATAATTATTCAAATATTTTGCAATTTTATTTATAAAACTAGTATATACATACACATGATATGAACTACTATAAATATTAAATTTATTATATAAATATTAAAATTATATGATAAAAGTTAGTTGTAATCCTGTAATTCTGTACCTAGAATATTAATATTAATGTCTGTACAGATTAAGACAGATTAGGACAAAGCTTTAAAACTATCACGTATAAAAGTACACATTATAACTAAACGTATTTCAATGAGAACTTATTCAGTTCAAAGAAATAAAAAAAAAAAGAATATCAGTGCAACTTTGAACGTATGCGTGTATCAAGGTTATTTTTATGATCATTTTCATGTTTGACATTTTTAATTTGTCCTGCATTATCATTCGCATTAATTAAATAAGTGTCCTAAATGTTAATTTTCTTTTTGCAGACGCAACTTTCATTAATGAAAGTCAGTGTACTGTAATCCCTCGTGTATTTTTGTAGGGAAATAGGGAAAATTTCATTCATTTTCATGTATGAATCCAGCCCCTATTGTATTGGATAAATTTTTCCTGGAAAAATTGGGTAGCATCCATGTTTCGATTGGACACGAGTCAATTTCAACAATTTTTCGGTATCTTTGCTGGAAAAAAATCACTTTCAGGGAAGTTGAATCTTTTAGAGAAATTCCAACAAAACTTCAGAAAAATTTTCAGAACAATTTCGATTTAAATTCAGCGATTTTTCAGCATATTTTTTGTACACGCGTGGGCAAATGTGCAACACACATAAAATGTAAGGTCTATTTATCTTAGGAACGTTTTGTAATTATGAAATACCCATGACAAATAATTAAAAAATAATATTAACCTGACGAAAAAGTTTTACGAAAAATTACATAGATTGAGACAAGATCATAGAAATTATTAGATGTTCGCAGTGGGACGGTAGAGCGACGGTTGTTTCTTTGAAAAACCTAGAAATCCTCCGTCCTCAAACAACGCCACTCTATGTCTCACTGCAAATACCTACGAAAAACTAAGAATTTCTAAACAAACGAACCTCACTCTACATCCCACTACAAATATCTACGAAAAATTAAGAATATCTAAGATTTTGTCTGAATATATGTAGTTTTTCTATACTTTTTCGTAAAAACTTTTCCGCCAGGGTACTGACAATTATATCACTTATTTTTTTACCTGGCTAAAGAGATAATATTGCCCAAAGTATAAAATACAGCAAATACGGCAAGACCTTTCTGTAAAAACAAGGCAAAGGATCCAAGGAATGAACATAATATGCCAACGATGAAACAAATTGCAAAACCTTTTATCCTGGTAGACCAACTTAATGTTGTTTGATCCATAACCTGTTAATCATAAAAATTGTCAATAATCTTTTTCAAATAAAGTTAGATTCCACATATTGTACATAATGTACAAAATATATGTAACAGTAGAGGTGCTACAAGTATATAAGATAAATTGCTATAATTCATTAACAATTTACCATGAAATCAGCATCAACCTTCCATTGTTGACCGCATGTGTGCATTTATTAAAGTGATAATTTCAGTTTACAAATGAGATTATAATACATGTAACCAATTATGAAGATATTCAGTAATGCAGCTTATTGTACGTAATTACCTGGGTAATAATACCACTTTCCTCATCGCATCGTTCATTACCGTTCAAAGCTCTCCTTAACTTGTCCATTTTAAATCAAAAACAAAAATTAATACACTTTTCAGACGAACCAAATTTCGAATTCATTAATCTATCAATGAGGTTAGCAAGCTAAATGAAAAACTTTATCATCTCACTGTTACATACTAATGTTTCAGATCAGATGCGTATTCCAAAATGTTTAGTTTATCGGAAAATATTTATACGTTAAATTAACTTTAACATAAAAAAATACATGTGCTACTATATTTATTTACACGTCTTTCCACGTCTTTCGTGTATGTACATGTATGTACAGCCACAGAACATATATATGTACAGCCTTCAATTTAAAAACGTAATTAGAGTTGGAGGTTGTTCTTAATAGCTTGCACTTTCTGTACTCACAAAGAGTGAAATAGGCAAACACAAACCAGAGAGAAACCTGAGAGCGGCCATCCCGGCCTTTTTCCTGTAATGCTTCCAACTCCCCGTACACTAGCGACACCAACGTCCATTTTCGAGACCCCCCCGTCTAGCCGATAAAATCGTATCGTCGAAAGTGGATGTGGTGAGCATTAATTCGCTGGGTCATAGTAGTGGCTGGACTTATCGACGCTGAGTCGGTAATAAAATTTAATAAATTAAATATTAAGGAATAAGACCTGTTTCGATCAAAGATAAAATTCTTTCTTTCTCTTACTGGACTTATTCATATCGGGCTAATTTCGATTAATATTAATATGAGAAGTATTCATACAAGTCCCTTAAAATTTTTTGAAAATATACTCGGTATTTTCCATAAATATTATAGATTGCAATAATCCATTCCTTAATCTTTTACATTTCTTTATAAATGTTTATCTCCGTTATGTTATATGTATACTTATTTGTGCAATATATAATTCATAATATATAATACATAAATCATAAATTTATATAGATATAAAGAACAGTGTAAACATAAACGGAGATATAATTCATGCATTTCTGTAGGAAGATATAATTTTATACGCAACAGGAAAAAAATGAAAAAATGAGCCGTTTATTTTGAAAGTGACCTAAGTCCATTTATTTTTAAATTGAGATATTTAAGAGTTTGCGTTTCAATAAAATTAAAAATATACGTATAGGATACCAACATGTCACACTGCTTAAGTGTATCTAAGAGAGTTAAATTTACAATTCCTATTAAAATAATAGCAATTATTAAGTGAATAATATGTGTTTTCTTACTACAAATGGAGTTAAGCCACTTTCAAAATTAACAACTAGATTTGTTATAAAATTTGAAAGAGCCCAAGTCCATTCGACAATTTAAAATGCTTCAAATTGAAAAAACAATACTCAATTTATTTTATATTATTTCTTTACAACACTTCAAAAACACAATTTATGCAATTCAGGAAATCTTCTAACTATATAAATTACATAACAATTTACTGCTCATCTACATTTTGTGTATGCGGGAGGGATTTGAAGAAGTCATGGTGCTCCGGTAGTATATATCGTAGTAAGTCCATCATGTCCTTATTTCGCTGTTGAAATTTGTCTTATATTTTTATAAAGTGGTGTCAATACAATATTTTCGAATTTTCTTGGTCTACCCCGACGTGGTAATAAATCCAGGATTTTAAACTCTGCATTCTCATCCATTGATATCTTATAGAAAATTTTATATGGTTCATTTCTCAAAAAACGCATCCAGCATATTTTTAACCAATTTATTGTTTCTCCGTTAGAATTCTTTACCCTTTTAAAAACTGCGTCCTCCAAAAATCTTGTTGATATGAAATCCTCTTGTTTCATTTCATTTAGAATAAAGTTATTACCTTTCCGGCACTTTTTGATAACATTATAATAATCTTGGGGGACAAACAGTAAATTATTTTTCTTTAATGACATTTCTACGACGCCAAAATCTCTATCATTCGGTAAAAATGAATGTCCTAATACTAAAAATTTGTGGTCTATGATTTCCACATTATAATAGATTGGACTTAGGCCACTTTCAAAGTAATGTTTTTAATTATTGAAATAATTGCGAAAATTTATGTGTCAGAAATTATCGTATACTCTGAATATACTTAACCGCAAAATGTTGTTTATGACAGCTAACTTCAAGTTGTACACGCTAGTATAGTCAACAACAAAAAATTGACAAATGGACTTAGGCCACTTTCAAAATAAACGGCTCATATACATATATACATATATTATATACATATACAGGGTGATTACTAATGATTGTACCAACTACTTACCATAAGACTTACCTACTGCATGACTTACCGACTGCACTTGTAATTTACTAAACGCTTCTTAGATGGCAGTTGCTTCGTCCGGCGCGCGAGCAGGTCCGACGTACATACAAAGGCCCTTGGTGAAAAATTTTTCTCAGATCTTATTTGTATAATTTTTCAGAATATCTCTGTGTGATTTTATAATCTTTTCAGATTTTTTTATAACAATTGGAATACTTTTCATAAATATTTAGAATGTCTACATCTTTTTTCAGAATTTTTAAATGTGGTAATTATGAAGTATCCTAAGATTTTTATTATTTTTTGTTCAACAAATTTCTGAGTGTTATAAAATCTAAAATAGTCAAAAGTATTTATTTTAAATTGTGGAATGAGAAATCTTAGAATATTTCAGAATTCACATGTATGAAAAATTCAAAGAGAAGATGTACCCTTTCCAAGTAAATGTAATGATTTCCGAAAAACGTTCCAATTCGTATAAAGATTATGAGAAAAACTTTTATCAGGGATGTTTTCGGAGAAAATATGATAAAATATGAAAAATTCTCATAATTATAGAATCGTTCTGAGAAGTTAATTTTTCACCAAGGGCCTTTGTACGTACGTCGGACCTGCTCGCGCGCCGGACGAAGCAACTGCCATCTAAGGAGTGTTTAGTAAATTACAAGTGCAGTCGGTAAGTCATATGGTAAGTAGTTGGTACAACCATTAGTAATCACCCTGTATATTATGTACATACATTATATACATACAATATATTTAATTTTAAATATTAAGAAACAGTTTTAAATAACTAAGTTAATTTTAATAATTTATAAGTAACACAGTACTTACACTGTAAAAAAATAAAATGTTAATTATAACTGATTGTTGTTAATTATAACTGATTGTATAACTGATTGTTGTGATAATTTCAACATTTTTACATGTCCCAGAACTAATTAAAATTAACATATCTTTTTACAACGTACGCAATTGCGAAACAGACTTAAAATAGCAATATAACAATTGTTTATTTATACATTTTATCGTTATACTGATGGAAAGATTTGTACATTTATCAGTATACCTATATATATTTAATTGAAATCGGAATTACTTTAATATGCTATGTTTATTTAAGTTTAATTGACAAAAAGGTGAAAATGGACTAACTGGCTTGTATTTTAATATAAAAAATACAAATTCTCGCAACATATGTCATAACGTAAATGTCTCAGCGATTGCACATGTATCTATGTCCGGACACTTAAACAAGATTTATAATTATATTATCTATATATGTAATTATTTATAATTCGTATATACTTGATATATATAATTATACATTTATTATCGAGAGATTTATTATATATATAATATAATATGTAATATAATTACAATCTTTGTCTTTCAAATGCTTTTCTTATTACAAAATTAGAATTTTTTCAAAAATTGTATTGAAAGACTACACATATACACAATATTAAATCGTTTAAGATTAATAATAATATAAATAAATGAAAGCTTTGTACAAACTTCCGGACATAGACATACACATGTCTGGTCAATGGGACATTTACCTTATAAGTCTGTGTATGTAGTCTGTAACAGCAGTAGTATGTATTTGACGAGAAGTAATGTGAAAAAAATTGATACACTTGAGAACAAATAAAAGAACTGTTTCAAAGCAAAATAGAAATTAAGTAATGGCAGAATCTATGATCGACACATTGAATTAGTGCATTGTATGTAAAGGATGTTATTTACAAATTGAGCAAAAAAGATGTTAATTTTCTGTACTGTATTATAACAAAAATTGAAATAAAAAATACAAAATAATTATAATCTATTTAGGTACTAACCCATTAAGAATCACAAGAAATTATACAACGAAAAATACTTAACAGATGCAAAATACAAACATGTACTTCTTCAATTCGATGCAAATTTTGGATAGAAAGCAATAGCAAACATTTATATTGTAGAATAACAAACGTTTTATATTTAACAAGTGTTCCATATTTACAAACGCACAAAAATAAAATGTTTAAAATAATTGATAAACTAAAAAGTTTAAAATTTTAGATGGAACGAGGTAAAGATTTTGGACAGTGAATCTTCATATAATAAAAGATTGATATCTGAAATGATCAATATCAAAAGACAAAACCAAGGTCTTAACAAACAAAATGAAACAGATTCACTGCCAGAATCTTACTTGCAAATCATATAATCCCTCTCTCCTTCGCAACTACATTCTTTCTCTTTCTTTTCACACTCCCTCTCCGTGTTGTTTCCTCTACTCTAAATTTTCCCCTTCTTATGCTCTCCTAATTTACCACATCAACCTTCTCGTCTTTTGAATGTCGATTTATATTGTCTCAGTACAGACTAAAGATGACACGATTTTTCTCTCGTCGCATTGCTTGTCTATTAAGATTCACATATAAGGTATTTATTTTAATTCAGCTGTGCTATTAAATTGTACTATTGCACATATTATAATGTTAATGGTATTTTACTGTAATATTTTATATGACTTATTAATTTATACGACTCGTTAGTGTACTTCTTAACAGAAATTATAATCATGCATGTATACGGAGGAACATTGTGGTACCGTTTTCCATTGCACCATGCTTCAATAATTATGTCATCTGAATGTTAATATAAGATCGTAGTATAATTTTAATTTAATTTTATTTCAACATTGATAAGGATCCGATAGGGATCGAAACGTGTGTTCTTTGTTCTTTATTTGTCTTTAATTTGTCATTCATTGTTTATAGCAGACATTAAAGTGTTTTTTATTATTATGATATGTTTATACAAATAATTTAACTCACAACAATTAACCTTTGACTCGTAACCCTATTTCATTTCGAATTTTTAATTTGTTGAGCATTATGACTATTATATATTAAAAATTTTAAATTTAAAAAGTAAATAGATAAAAATAACAATCATATTTGACATGTCTCTCTGA